GAAGCGTCACAGCGTGCGCTAGTCTTTACTCTTTAGTACTTGCGGTGTTCGGTTTTCGAACCTCGTTCGTGAGCGGCTGGACTACGCCAAGCAAGCGCGTTACAAAGGCTATAGGGCACCAATGGAACCATCGATTCTTGGAGTCTCATTCCTTGCGTGGTATCGAAGCAAGAAGCGTGGCGGTTTGGGCTACTTGGTGTGGCATCACGTTTGTTATAGCTCAGGAACCGCTAACTTCCAGCAAAAGAACAAAAGAAGACCACCACTATCTTCCAACTCAGTTGGAAGTTAGCGCACGTCTTCTTTTGTCCCTTTGGCGTCTTTCTGTTATAACAATCTTCTTGCAACAAGAAGTCACGCGTTGAGTTGACACTGCTGTCTTCCCATACCCAGGCTTGCTGAATAGCTTCATTAAATTTTTTAACTTTAGTGAAGTAGAATATAGTTTTAACAAAGAAGCTGTTCTGCAGCTACGTGACACCTGCATGCCCCATTCGGGTTCCCGAATTTCCCGGTCGTGGTCGAAGCGGTAACCACACTGTGAAATGAGAAAGGGAGTCCCGCAAATTCAGTTCCCAAGTACGCAAATAGGTGGCGCAACCACCTCGGTCGCGGACAAAGAGGTAACAGGGCCGTGAAATGAGTAAGCTCATCCACGCGCATCATCGACGCGCTTTACCGCTCCAGACAAGTCCAAGTCCGATTCCTACTGTACGCTTTCCCCTCTTCGGGCATCGCGCCTTGCGTATTGTACAAAGCAGATTAGAAAAGCGTAGCTCTAGCAAGAGACGACATTTTGCTGATACGCTCACGTGTACCGGCGTATTGTGTGACAGACTGTGCGCTAGGATCTCATCCTAATTGAGCATGATGCGGCACATCATGCCGACAGGAACGGCGAACGTTTTTTTTTTTTTTTCGGGTCACCTTGCTAGTGAAGAACTTATGCGCTATGCTCGTAGGCGTAAGAACACACACAGAAAACAAAACAAGAACCGACAACACAAACTTCGTCCGTTTCTGCTAACTATAACCGTGCGAGCATGCCTAACTATTGTTGTTCTTGTTTATATCACGGGAGCGCACCATCAACTTCTGAGTTACTGAGCTATTTTAATCAATTTCATAGTTACTTTTAAAGTCGACTTGCGTGCGGCTCGTATACGTAAAACGCAATACTTAATGTGACTTACGTCCCTTCCCGACGATGTTTCCCATTATGGCAGGCGGAGGCCATCTGTAGTACCACCCATGTTCGTTGTGGCGACGCAACGAAGGTATTACGCTGTTTGTGAAATCTGACGGGCACCATGTTCACAAGTTGCACCGAGCATACACGTCCACGCGAATTTCGACATAACATAAGCGGGAGGAACCGGTAATCGGTAACTACGACTCAAACAGAGCCTAACTCCAGCCTCTGCTTCCCACAACGGCTTACTGTGGTCAAACTAATGTTGTCAGACAGCAATACGGACAAGCACAACTGCAGCTTCTTCTCGAGTTTCTTTTGCTCGAAAAACAGAGCACTACAGTAACATTCGTAATGTCTTCTTGGCCGGCAACGATTATCGTCATCAATCTCGCGTGCCCGTCTTCGTGTTATCTGCATGTGCCCAGCATTTGCGGGCCATGGAGATAGCACGAAAACAAGCGCGCTATCAGCGTGATGTAGTTGGCGTTCGATTCCGGACGGGGAATTTGTGAGAGCAAAGTTTTCTTGAACAAGCGCGAACAAGCCGGATGACGATTCTCGTTTTGGCGCTATAAAAAACTTCCCAGTTGACGGGTAGTGTTTTATGTTCCAGAGCCATGATAATATCATCAGAGACGCCGTAGTGGATGGCTTTCGAAAATTTCACCATCTTGTGACTGACATCGCACAGCACCAGGCCTCCGAGAATTATTGAAATGTGGCAATGGAGGTTGAGATTCGAGCCCGCGATCTTTGACTCAGCAGACCAACACCATAACCATGCACTTGACCGTCGTGGTGTGTGTGGCGGGGAGAACTCACCAAAGGGTACGACATACTTGAGGAGTGCCCTAGATGTGGCATCCAAGTCTGGCTCCACAGCAACAGCTGGCTCTGGATAGCGAAAACTGATGACAAAGACAATACCTCTGTTTCTAATGGATAACATAAGCTGATATCGAAGGCCGTATGGCCTTTGTTGACCGCAGTGTGTCATTCTTGCAAAATAAATGCTCGTGAGGCGACAAACATGTACTCTTGGAAAGGAGGAGTCGACAACACTCCCCTATGTTTAAACAGCGTACATGCTCAGTCCCCCTGATTATTCCAGGGCTTCGCCTGTCCTGTGCAATCCTTGGCGGATGGGACGAAGGACTTCATACACAAGTAGGACACTACCGCTAACTCTCTGTACAGACAGACAGACAGACAGACAGACAGACAGACAGACAGACAGACAGACAGCCAGGTCAAACAGGTCAGACAGTCAGGTCAAACAGGTCAGACAGTCAGGTCAGACAGACAGCCAGGTCAAACAGGTCAGACAGAGAGACAGACAGACAGATAGACAGACAGACAGACACAGCAGTGGGCCATTCACCCCCCGAGACTAATGGGGTAACATTCCTAGCTATAAGGGTTCAACTGTAGTCCCCAAGTTTTACTTCTTACCGACCACTGCCTCCTTTCCTGCTCCCCCCCTCACACACAACCAGTGTCTGCCGCCATTGTACATTAGCCACGCATCCTGCTCTCCCCCTCACACACAACCAGTGTCTGCCGCCATTTTACATTAGCCACGCATCATTCAGCGATTGCGAAGAGTCTTTCTCCTCTGGTCAGTATCTCCGTCACTAGTGAGTGGGGCCCTCGTTTCACCAGGTGCTGGCAAAGCGTATAGGGAACATGATCGACGCCGAAAATGAGCGTTAGCTAATGTTACTCGTCGATGGCTCTTCAGTTTGTTCATAAAACGTACGGTATGGTACATAGAGTATGTACGATACAATTGAAGTACATACTGTCGTTTTCACTGCCCGCACCTCTGGAGATATTTGCGAAGTTTTTACTGGAACGCCAGGCGTAGCCAGAAAATTTTTTCGGCGCAAATGGGGGGGGGGGGGTGCATTTTTTTATTCTAGTGGGGGCACTTCCTTGAATAGGTATTTTTCACTCTATGCCATTGCGAAATAAAATTTCGGAGTGGGGGCACGGGCCCGGTACCCCTGGCAACGCCCCTGCTTTAACGCCACATTCTCCCCGACATGGCACCGTTGCCTGGAGCGATTGGCAAGTGGAACACATTTGTGGGGTTTAACGTCCCAAAACCACCATATAATTATGAGAGACGCCGTAGTGGAGGGCTCCGGAAATTTTGACCACCTGAAGTTCTTTAACGTGCACCGAAATCTGAGCAGCACCTCCATCGGAAATGCAGCCGCTGCAGCCGGAAATCGATCTTACGGCCTGCGGGTCAGCAGCCGAGCACATTAGCTACTTGACCACCGCAGCGGGGCGCGAATGGAACAAGAGTGCAGGTAGGAGTACGAACAAAGACGACAGCAGGTGCAGTAGCCTTTAAAATATTGTAGTAAGCATACAAAGAACGAACATTATCAAAAGAACACTTTTTTTATTTTCAACGCAAAACAAAGAGACTTGTTGAAGGACAACAAAAACAAAACCCGCCAAAACGCTCAAGAAAAAAAGGAGGGGGGCTCCAGATGAACGTCTCGGACGGAGAAGTTCTGAAAAAAAAATCCTGAAAGGAAGCAGGAAAACATGAAATTAATGCATAGTCAAACTACCCTCTGGCGAAAACGGCGGTGACAAAAATCTTGCCGGCTAAACGCAGTTGGCGATCGACGAATTGTTAATAACACTAAATGCTCAAAGGAAAACATATAGGTCAATCAGCTCCCATCGCAATTTTTACTTCAGATTTTTTTTCTAAGTGCGTTGACGTCCTGATAATAATTCGGCACACGATGCCGTACTACTGGCGAGGTAAAAGGGATCCGAGGAAAGCCTCGCCTTGGTAGCTATCACTCCATTGCGACGAAGTTTCGTCCCAAGATATAGAAATGCCACTTCAATAATAGGCTGATAGACAAGACGTATGCCTGGGTGGATATAGCCACACTCAATCAACGACCGCGGCACTGACGCCTTCTGTGGGTGTATCTGGGAACCGAAGAGCTACAGACCCGACCAGTTTCAGAAGAGGTGCGCTGTTGAATGCAAGAACGCTCCCAAATCGTTAAGAAACAATCGGGGAGCGTCAGCTTTATTTTCAAATTACGCTCATTAATCACCGTGCGTGAAGTCAGAAATTTGATATGTGAGGTTTAACATCCAAAACCATCATATGATTATGACAGACGCCGTAGTGGATAGCTCCGGAAATTTCGAGCACCTGGGGTTCTTTTAACGTGCACCCAAATCTGAGCACACGGGCGTACATTTCCGCCTCCATTGGAAATGCAGCCGCCGCCGCCGGGATTCGATCCCGCGACCTGCGGGTCAGCAGCCGAGTACCTTATCCACTAGACCACCACGGTGGGGTAAAGTCAAAAATTTCAAAATGTATTTTTCACGCTTTCGCGACATTAGCTTGATGAAGTTTTCCAATCCTTCATATGCCGGGTCGATGGCGAGACATATTACAATTTTCAATTTTATCGATTAAAAGCTATAATAAACCTAGTAAACACCTTCAGTGTTCATGACGTCGTAGTGCAGAAAAAATAAAGGCAGCGTTTTCATTTCATTCATTTTTTCCCCAACATTTTTTCGCTTAGTAAGCATCGTGTTGTGGACAAAAGTGGCGTTTTCGGGATTGGAAAATTGTACTATACTAATACGGGGGAATAGTGGATCAGGGAATAAGCCGGGGTTACAGGGATATCAGTTAAAATAAGAATAAATGAACATAGACCGGGCACGTAAAGTGCGTAGGCAGGATTAACCACTGGTCAATAACTGGATTCCCAGAGAAGGCAAGCGGATGAGGGAAAGACAAAAGTTAGGTGGGCAGATGAAACCAGAAAAATTTGGGATATCAAGTGGGGAGTATCAAGCACAGGACTGAATTGACCGGCGGAACGTGGGAGAGGCGTTTGTCCTGCAGTGGCCGGCTGATGATGATGATCAATACGGGTAAAAAATCGTAGCGTCCACCAACCTGATCCGGGAACCCGAGGACGACGGTCATACGAAGTACATGGCCGTCTGCAGGTTGTCGAGAACCTTGACGGCCTGCACGTACTGGCTGGTGGTGATCGAGTCGGCCGAGGCGCCGGACGAGTCACTGCTCGAGCTGGAGACGTCAACCTTGCTGATCACGTGGTTCTTGGCGCGGTACGCGGCCAGGTGGGCGTAGTACACCGGAGCCGGGATGCTGACGCTGCGCGAGCAGCGGGCGTACGTGTGGCAGAGGTAGAAGCTGAGCTTCTGCAGGTCGTCCGCCGAGAAGTCGGAGTCGTCCCACACGATGTAGTAGTGGGACGGCTTGCTCGTGCCCTGCGTCGGTGCGTAAAAAAGGAAATGACAAAATTGCCAAAAGACTCTGGGAAAAGTTGGTCGCGTGTCTGCCTGCTGCGATGCAAAGGTCCTCGTCGAGAGACTACAGTCTTCCGTTTGGAGAGATTGCACGTACGAGATATGGGCGCCACCTGGCAGTTATGTCAAGAAACGGAAGTTTCTGTGAAGCGGTAGAGCACTGGCAGAGCTGTGTTATTTTTTTAGCAAAGCGTAATGAATAAAGGAAATAAACGAACTGCTTCATAGTTACGTACTGATGTTGCGCCTCAATCTTGTTACACCTCAACAAAACCAAGATGGCTGGGCATTCAGCAAGTGGGCATGGAAGTATCACAAGAAAAACTAATAAAACGGCGGTAATTGGGAGACTAACCGCACGAGGTACGTTGTAGGGCGTGAACCTGGGGTTCTTTAAAGTAAGCTAAATTGCGTGACCTTGGCCGGGAATCGTTTTGCCCATTATTGTATTGGAGCCTTGGAGTTTGCAGCGCGACACCTTAGAGGCAGCTTAGCTACGACGGAGGGCCTAACCACGACTGTAGCGATTATTGTATACGGAATATCATTTTCTTACTGCGTGGGACTATGCGCACTGATAATCGCGCTCGTATACCTGTATGCCGAAGTGGCTGCACAAGAAGAAATCGAAGTCCAGCGGGTGAGTGACCACGGAGTCGACGGTGGTGCCCGGTGGGACGTTTTTGCACTTGCCGACACCGTCACGGTCGCTGGCGGGCATGAACCGGGTGTGGTGTCGCTTCTGCACGATGATGAAAGTAAGGGCCGGCTCGTAGGTCTCGTTGGGAGACATCTCCTGGCAGGCAAGCCGGATGGCGCTCACCTGTGGTTACGCACAGAGAGGGACGACAGACAGGGCTGTGAATGGCCAACAGAAAGGTGGGAAAATGAGGGTTTGTTTCCCGGGCTAGATGGTTAAAAGACCGAAGTCATTCCGATTACACTGCAGAGCAAACAGCAGCCATATCAATTACAAAGATCAGGCCCTGGCATGACGCCGACGACAGCCGCATCAATTACGAAACGAGGGCATGAGGCCAAACAGGCGTGCAAGAAAGCAAACAGAAGCGCGAGCACCGTGCAGGCGTAAGTATCATGCAGGTGGCAGCCGTATTACGAGTTACACAGTAAATTATGTAATGGGACAGCTGCAGCCATGTCGATTACGATGCGAAAAGTACCAACGAGCATTGTTTCAGGCGGCCACAGCCACGCGCGCTCACCTCCCGGTTGCGGACCTCCATGAACTGTCCCTGGCTCACTCCGTCCCGATAGAAGATGATGCGCTCAGGCTTGTGTTTGGTGGCCCGGTAAAAGGCCTTGAGCAGTTCCTTCATCATGTCCTTCAGGTCTCTGATTATCTCCACCCGAGACGTGGCCGTCGAGTCACCCTCTGGACCCGAATAGAAGAGTGGAACCTGGATGGGATCGAGTCCAGGCTGCCGACGCAGGCGGCGATGGAGGGGGCGGTGCTTGTCCCGGGCGCCGGGGAGTGACGCTGCACCGATAATGATGATGGCTTCAGGAAGATAGCCGGCTTCTCCTTGGGACAGGAGGCTGTTGTTGGGCCGCCCAGCTTGGCGTTCATCTTCTGGCACAGGTTGGTGACCAGCGCCGGGTTTGCACTTCTTGACGACGTTGTTGTCCATGACACACTGGGTGCGCAGGCCGATCTCTGTCTCGGCCACCTGCTTGATCTCGGCGTAGTTCGTGCTCTTGGTCAGGACGATGATGACCATCTCGATGTTGGGGACCTTGCGCTGCTCCTAAGCAGCGTGGTGCGGAATCGGCTTGCGGTTCGTGTCGGACGAGCTGATGTCCACCGGCTGCTCGATGCGCATGCCGAGCTCGTTGCCCGTGCGCACCAGCAACTTGACAAAATTGTTCCAGACTGCACAAATAGATGGGGATGTATCCCTAATTGGCGGTGGCTCAAAGCCTCCTTAGCTAGAGGGCAATTACTTGCCATGATTTCGGCTTCCAGAACAATGAAAAAGTTAGCTAGACTGCACGGATCGATGGGGGATTTATCCCAGGATTG